ATTTAGTAAGTGTTGAACTCATCCCTCCAATGATTGCTAAGAAATGACACTGAATGAATAACGTTTTCATATTATAGGTAAAAACTGATATTTTAAATTCATATTTGCTTGCAGTTATTGTTACCTTGATTTTGTTGATGAATGTTATAGTTAGCAATGATTTGTACGCTTTTTTCTTTTTATATTCCTTTCTCATGTTAACATGGTGTATTATAACGTATTATGGTGTATTATGATGTAGTTGTATGCAAAATTAATTATCTCTCTCAATAACAGATTTTTGTTTGTGGTTGATATTTGCAAAGCTCTGTGTCAATGCTGTAATTTTTTCACCTGAAATATAAAACAAAATAACAACACAAATTTTTGTAAATATAAGGTTTGCAGTGTGATTAACCCACCACGGCGGATGACAAAATTTTGATCTTTTTTCCCCGTGCATCGCACGGGTAATATACTAGTTAGGTTCTAAATCATTATCGCAGATCCAATTTTTCCTACATTTGATATCAGAGACATGGTTGTACATTTGCATGTGAATCGAGTCTCACTATTCGTGTAATTTTTTTTTGCTTATGATGTATGGCACCTATAGTTTTATGGGCCAGTATATACTTACCACCAAAATTTTTTACCACATTTACAACCAACCTAATTGTAACATCCCTGTCTCGAGCCGGTTCAATTAACATACATATGATAAAAACAGAAAACAACGGAAGACTTAACTTATGAAAATACGAGCTAAATTTTTCTTTTTCTTTTTAAATTCTCATTCGTCGTAAACGAAAATTGGACAGAGTTTCCTCTATAAATCGGACAACTGGGGATTTTCCAATCCCACTCAGAAGCATTTCCTGATAAACAGTTTATACAAATATAATTAAATGCCCATCCATGGGCGCATGCATAACTTGGCTCAGTGCCACTATATCTAACAGCATGCAATCCAACACGTAAACATATCTGAATACTACATCATCATATAACGTGCCTGAATACTCAAATGTACATGCATCAGACTGACAGACATGTACAAAACATATACAGGCCATATACAAAATAAAGGATCAATGTCATGATCCATCAAAGGTGGAAATACAAAATGACATGAATATACTTCCAAAAAGTAGTAGCCTACAGCCACTCAAAATCCGATCCGTCAACTGCCTTAGCCACGTGTCGTTTCCCTGCCTAGTGAGGACTCACCGGAAATCTGGGCACCTGAAAATATGTCCCCAACAAGGGGTGAGATTACAAATCTCAATAAGCTCCAGGTTTATAGAGAATTCTCCATACCCCTGGCTCACTCCTGCACGAAAGTCAGATACAGAGTATACGAATACAACATATAACAGATATCATAACAGAACAAAGCATTTATCCATATCATATCAGAGGTGTGCGCCGTCATTCCCAAGGGAGGACCCCAAGCGGAAATCAACGCACGTGTTCCCGAGGGAGGACCCCAAAGCGGAACCAGACATATCAGAGGCGTACACCATCAGTCCCGAGGGAGGACCCCAAAGCGGACATCCGGGTACTATACAATCAATGGCCAGAGATTGTTACAGAAATCATATTACAGAAGTCATATCAGAGCAAAACATATCATGTTATCAAATAACTCTATATGAATGCATCTATACAAAGCATCTAAATAACAGTCATACAGTCCAACCATAGTTCACTAACCATGGTGGAGCACTCAAGCAGAAAAAGACTCCTTAAACATAGAGCTTACCTCTTGAAGCTTTACCAATACGCTTACTTGTTGCACAAGTTACTTATATGTCTTCAAGAGATTCCGATCCTTTTTAGTCCCTAGGTACACCTAGAGCAAGAATCCACAAATACAAATCAATAAAATGCTATCATGCCTAGACTTTCCATAAGGCATACATTTTATCGCTTATCTTCCTTTCTTTATACTTTTGCCAATGTTATGCCAATACACAAGTCTAGACCACCTTATACTCGTTAGCATTCTTTAATTTTAATTAAGTATTCACTTGAGAATTTTCAACATCATGCATGCCATTTTACTTCAAAAGCCGCGGACATACCCTTAGGAAATCAAAGTATTTTTCAACCATTTTTCAAGTCATTTCACTTCTTAACTCATCAATTTTATACAATGAATTACAACACATTTTATTTACAATAAAATGTAACAAAATATACCCCTATACCACCCTCTAGGTCGAACACTACAAGGACATAGACAAAGGTTCTTTTTCTTCACTTACATGTAACTTACACATACAAATACATGTTTTCATAAGGTTCCAACTTAATTTTTGGAGCATAAAGTCCCTCCAAAGCCCCACAAGGCCTAAACCTAAGGGCATATTTCATATAATTTTTCCCACTTTGGCATTCTCACTAATTTATCAAATTTCCACTTAATTCCTACACATTAAACCTTCCTAATACTTAAGATAAAATTTTTGCACAACAACCTACTCTTCACCTATGATGGCCGAACATGTAGAGGAAAGCATAGGATTTTTTTTCTAATTTTTTTACATACATACAAATGCTTATTTTCATTTCTTAAATCCAAGACATCAAAGATTCATCATTAAATCAAAGTTTAATACACAATGCTTTCCTACCAAAACATACTCATAACTTTTATAACTCAAATCATCAAAATAATACCATGGAAATAGAGGTTCATTATCTCCAAAAGCTTATACAAGGTCTAGAAGGTGACCAACAAGCAAGACTCCACCAAAACCCCCCTTTTTCACCTTGGATGAATAGTAATCCGAAAATGGAGTGATGAATATCTCCCTCCACAAACGAAATCAGCTCAAATGGAGGAGTGGAATAGCTTCCTTGGATGATTTCCTATGAGATTGGTATATTGGGTGAAAGATTTGGTGGAATATTGGAGGAGCAATCAAAGAAGCAAAAACCAAAACCCTAACCCCCCCCCCCCTTCCATAGCTGCTGATCGGCCCCAAGGAGAGAGAAAAGAGTGTTTTTCTTTGAGTGAATAGTGATCACATAAGTCACTTATGTTTTATAGCACATGTGACTTTTACCCGGGTATTTTTCTTTCGCGTATTTTCACTTAAACTAACCCGGAACTAACTCAAGGCTACAAATATATTTTTATTCCTAATGAACAATATTCCTAATTTACAGTATGGTGTTTGCACCGTTTTTGACGAAATGCACTGTGAATCACTAATTGTACTTCATTTACTTATGAAACTTAAAACTTATAAACTTATCATTTTCTTGGGCTTATATTGACTTACTTGGCATATATTGGACTTTCTTATTCTTATTTCATCAATTATTTATTTTTGGACTCTACCGGTTGCTTAAACAACAGTACAAAATACCCGGTAGAAACACTATTCACGAGATTTTCACGGAAAGTGCCAGACTATACAATTTTTCGTTCTGAACTCATATTTGTCGTCAGAATTATCGAATTATGTCTCTAAAATTATTTTTCCCTTTTAAGCTCTACCGGTTAATTCGCAAACTGTAAATTCTCCAGTAGAACGCACTGTTCATAACATAGACATGATTACAGTCAAAATACTCGGAATCACTCACTGAATCTAATTATGGCATTTAAATCCTTAAATTAAATCTCTAATTAAGATTTACCATTTATGGTCATTATACTAATTACCGTTGATTTCCGTCAATCTGACGGTTATAATTTATTAGGAATTAATAATTATTAATGAATACGATCCAATAATTTTCATTAAATTATAACCGTTAGATTGACGGAAATCAATGGTAATTAAGTTAGTTGTAAAGGTTGTAAACTTTTTTTGTGGTAAATATATCATTTCCCTAGTTTTATACTATTAGATTGCATAGATTATGTTATTTTATATAAATTAAAAATTAAAAATTGATAATTATTTTAAGACAAAATGACTATTGCTTATCGAATATATATATATATATATATATATATATATATATATATATAAATGAAAAAAGCAATACCACTATATATTATTAAATATTAACTAGACTTAGACACGAGGATTTTTCTACTTTGTTTAAGAAGGATTCAGGACTATGGTAATATGCCAACCTATGAATATTAATAATACAAGCGTTTGCAAAAGGACAAGATCTATATACTATTAAATATTAGCAGGACATACAATCTTTGTTACTTTGTTTAAGAAAAATTCAGGACGGTGGTAATTAATAAAACAATGGGTATTAGTATTCTCCTGGCGTTGGAGATAGAAATAATTACATGCAGAGATAAAAAAAAAAAAAGTGGTTCCACTATATTCTAGAGAATAGAGAAAAAAAAATAACTGGAACTACATTTTTATTCTATCACCAAGAGGAGACAAAAAAAATTCAGGAGATTAGATATCCCCTAAAACAATTTATAAATGTCTAGAAATCATACATTGGCAAGAAGGCAAGATTATAGAAATATACATTATTATGTTAGCAAAGATCTCAAGTGGCCAGGCATTGAAGGTGTACTACAAAGTACAAATTAAAGAGTAGTAAATTGTAGCAAATGGACGGATTCACCTATGCATATTGTCTATTGTCTACTTTATTAATTTTTTTAATCGTGAAAGGTACTGCGTGGGGTTCCAACATAATATATGCATATCATTTTCAATATCTCTTATTTTATTGGGAGAATTTGACGGTTGATTATTCAATTTCTCCCCCTCGTCTTATCGAAAAGTAGGCACAACTCAAGAAAATAATTTAGTTTTGTCGTACCTAAAATGCTCATAAATTTGATATTAAAGTGAGAAACTAGAAGAACGGAAAAAGCAGGTTATTTGTCTCAATTCCCATCGCATGTTGTAGTAAAATTATTGTATATTTACAGTAATTTTTCAATTATATATTTTCTGTATTCTAATGCATTATATTCTACTAGTTCATGCAATGAGAAATATATAATTGACCAAATGATCATAATGTACTGGAGTTACTACAAATTTGTTGAGATAAGCAAAGAGTGCAATGGCTATTATAACTGGATATGCGAGTAAAAACAAAAGATACAAGTTATTACAACACACCTTTTTGAAAACAATAAAAATAAAAAGATGAAAATACAAAATGCATCGCGGTACCGAAGAGAGACTAACTGGGGTGACACATGAGCACATGTGTTGGGAATTTGATTCATTGTCTATCAGTGATACCTTTATTGACATTATAATTATTCTATAAAAGCTAGCATCCGCCATGACTACATGGTGTTGTGTTGAGTGGTATTTTATGAGGAAAGGAGTTTAGCGGCGGTGGATGGTCTTGCAAGGGGAACACAGATGAGATTATGGGCCCTTGGAACAGTGAGACCAGGTCTCTCTTCCATGCTAACTTTAGCATCATTGCCTTTCAATATTTGGCCTTGTGGACCAACTACCTGAAGATCAAAGCATTGGATAAGAGATGCAAGCAGTGTTGCCATTCCTGCTGTAGCCAAATTGACACCAGGGCACATCCTTCTCCCTGACCCAAATGGCAATAGTTGGAAATGCTGTCCCCTGAGATCAACTGGGCCTCCTTGTTCTCCTTCAACACCACTCTCTAAGAATCTCTCTGGACGATATTCCAATGGCCTTTCCCAGTATTTTGGGTCTCTTCCCACAGCCCAAACATTGAAAAGTATCAATGCTCCCTCTGGGATGACAAAACCATCAATCTCACACTCTGCCACACATTTTCTTTTGACAACAGGCAGTGGAGGGTGCATGCGGAATGTCTCCTTCACTATGGCTCTAATGTAAGGAAGATTTTGAATATCTGATTCATCAACAAGTCTATCTTTTCCCACAACACTGTCAATCTCCTCTCTAGCTTTCTTCAGCACCCTGGGGTTGTTGATGAGCTCTGACAAAGCCCAGTCTGTTGCCACGGCTGTTGAATCTGTCCCTGCTGAGAAGAAATCCTGCACACAAAGCATTAATTGTCAGTTACATTTGTTCATTCCCTTTGGACATAAACATTAAAAGCATCCTTGTCCCTGATTAAAAGAGTTTTTTTTAGTTTTGCTAATATTGCTATATATATATATGTGCCATGTGCCATACATTACTGTATTCTTCTTTAAAAATATATATCATATACTTAAGGTGACACAATGGTATGTGATAATTAAGAACACTATTTTTCTTATGCAAGGGTTATATTAATTAGTACTAGAGATTTTAGCAACAACAGCATATAATAATAAAGCCGAAATTAAGAAAGAAACTTACCACAACAAGACCCTTGATCTGTTCTTTGGTGATTTTAATTTCCATGGTCTCGTCCTCAGCAAATTCAAGCAAAGTATCGAGAAAAACGACACTCTGCTCACTGTCATCAACTACTGCATTACCCTCCTTTCTCATTTTCCTTATGTGTTGGCGTTTCTTGATAACCCTTTCAATGACGGGATCAAACTTGTTAAAGATGTCATCAATTCTCTTCTCATATTGTCCAACCTTGAGCTTCTTCAATGGCCAAATGAAGTCAGTAAGACTGTATTCGCCGAAGATCTTGAGGACATCACGAGCCATATCCCTAATCTCTTCAGCTTCGCCCAACATCATCCTTGAGATTGTGCTATTTGTCCATTTAAGCAATTCCTCAGTGACATTAAGGGGCTTTTCAGTTTCAGCACTGTTGGCTAATACCCTGAGAACCTTTTTGATTTCTTGGCTCCTCAAGGGTCTCAACTTGTTGACAGTGGTGGCATTAAGAAGGTCGTTCATGATGAGTTTCCTGATGAACTTCCAATAAGGTCCAAAGGGAACCATGGCCACAGAGTTATCGTATGTGAGGCGTCTTATGGCTGAGGTTTGGAACCTTGTGTTGAATGAAGATGCCTCGTGTGTTTGAAGGAACAGTTTGAACAACTCAGGTGTGGATGCAACAACGGTAGGCATGGAACCAAAGTATAGAGAGAACAGAGGGCCATAGCTTTTGGAGAGACGGATGAGGGAATGGTGTAACAGAGGATTATCCAAAAGGTGAAGGTGACCAACGAATGGAAGACGAGGTTTTGGACTTGGTGGGTTTGGCAGGTGGCGAAGGGCTTTGGATTTCGCAGTTGGTGTTGGACGCAAGTGTATAAACAGAGCTATAACCAATAAAGTAACTGCAAGTTCGATCAACATTGTTGTCTTTGATCTTTGCTTGCTAAGAGTGATCAAGAGTAGTCCTCTCCTCTATGTTTTGATTTTGAGGCTATGCAGTATTAGTTTTTTTTTTGCCTGAGAAAACAGGCTTCTCCTGCCTTCCCTTTTATAGCCAACTCACTCCCACTCCACCAAGTTGTCTTGTGTTAGGGCTTCACTAGTTTTTCTATCTTTGCGGGCCTACAAGTCTTAAATCGGTTTCGAAATAATTATCTTTACGGTTTTATTTAAATAAAATTATTAAATACTTCAGAAGAATTGAAGAAATGAATCTTCTACTTTTCCTTCTTTTTTTTTTGTATCACCTTCTACTATTCTAGTCTAAGAGATTGTGCTGCATATTTTCTTGAATTTTGTTAAAGTTTTGACTATATGTCTTAATCACAAAATGTTGTGACTTGAGAGGAGCTAGGCAACTTCGCTCGGGAATCATATCATAGAAGTAATTCATTTTTAACTAGGAACTTGTTACTGGTGCGCCGGTCTTGGCATTTCGTTAATAAGAAATTCAAAAAACCCACAATGACAGTGATATAGTGCAGTTTTTCCCTCGCACTTGCAAATAAAGTAATTATATTAGTTCCCAAAATTCTCAACCCAAACCCAAACCATGCGCTATATCATTTTACTTTGAATTTTACAAGTTTCTGAGTTAATAATTTTAGTGGGTCACATGGTAACAAATTCTCTGAAAATATTTTTAATTACTAAAATATATAATGTTGAATAAAAAAGCAAGAATATTTAATATATTAAAATATTAAATATTTTAAGTAATTACAAATATCATTAAATTTAAAAAATATTATATCTTTTTAAGTGATTGAGAAAAGTACTATTGAACTGATTCATTTCATAATAAAATTATCTTATGTTACCAAAATAAAATTATCTTAAATTCAATAAATGTTATTAATGATTCTTTAACCAGTGCAAAATTCTAGATAATATTTACATTTCTTTTATAATTTTAAGATGGTAACTTTTAGATAATACATCGAAAATGGTTAATTACTTTCTATTTGTGATGAGTTTACATGTCGACTATTTTTTATGTGAACTTAAAGATAAAATTTTCATTTTATAATTTTGCATATTTTAATACGTTTTTCGTATACACATGAATTATATACTAATTTTATTACTTCATAAAAAGTGGAACCTTAATTAGTGAAATCCAATTAGTTTGGATGAATAGTTGAAAATTCATTGGACAACCATGATTTGAAAAAACTCGCAGTCTCATTGCGCAATGCGTATTTGGCCCTTTTAATTGTGACATAATAGGGTTTGGATAGTCTGCATTAAATTATTGGTTCGAACTACCATCATAAATTTCAAAAAAATTGTGATATAATTGTTTTGGATTATAATTTTAAAAAATTCAGTCAAAATATTTGCACATTATTTTTTATGTAATTTGATTAAAAAAAGAAATTTAAATGATAACAAAATACACTTCACAGCATTTTTTTTTACTGTCCATTTAAAGTAAAAATACTATTAAAATAAAGAAAAATAATTTTCTCATTTTACATAAAAAAAAATTTTCATCTTACACCATAATATAAGTGGGATTCCAAAAGTGAGAAGACAAAACTCATATATTATATGTATAATATAAGAAAAAAATTTAATATAAAGTGAAAAAAATTAATCCTCTAGAATGGAAGCGTGCAGCTATCGTTGCCCTTCAAATCTTTTTGGAAATTTGAATCCGCATGTGCTGCGACCCTGACTTCAAAATTTTAGTAACAAAATGAAAAACAAGTCTTACAAGATGGGCGGAGTTACAAAGTTGACAGAACACGAGGCATGTGTCAGATATTGGCGAAGTAGATGCGAAGCAGCCTCACCTACCCGCGAAGTGATTCACATTTCACAATAATTTCGTAATAAATAAAATAGATAATCTGATCCCTATCACTCTATCAGTGGTTTTTTATCATAATATATTTTAAACTTAATAAATTAGTCAACAATGACTGCTTATTTTAAAGGCCGCCACCTTTCCCTAGAAAATAAAGCAGCCAACCAGTACGGAGTTATTGAATGTGGAGTATCCACTTTAAAATAATATTTATACATCACGAATTTTACATTTATATTTCACTTATTTAGAAAAAGAAAAGTTAGGAAAAGAAATGTGTTAATATATGTATTTTTATTTTATGATCTAATTTTTGGTCTAAATATTATTATCAATAAAATATAAACCACATGGCGCCACAAATGAACATAAACACATGTTTTCATATTAAATACATAATATTATATAAAAAATAATTTCAACAGTTAAAGATATTACTCTTAAAATGTTTAACTGTTCCTTCGTTTTCATCGTTTTCTGTTTATAATTAATTCTTTTTTGTAATCATTCTGTTTATAATTCAAAGGTGACGCCTTCAGTACAGAACCACTCACTTGTCCCCAAAGATTCAAAGGCACCAGCACTTAAACTATGTAATTGATTGCTTTGTAATAAAGTGAAATTAAATATTGAATCATTAAAATTAATCAAATTGTGGAAGTTATAGATGATGGGTTCGCCTTTTCTATAATTATCTGCGTTGAGTTTAAAATGAAATTATTTTAGGTAGAAATTAATGTATTTTTATTATTATAATTTATTTCAGAGTTATAATAGTCTTTTTTATTATAATTTTTTTATTTTTCAATTCAAAACGACGTCGTTTTAGGAGTGAACGTAAATAACTTATATATATTTACTGTGAAAACATTAAAGCCATAGATTACATATAGGAATTAGTGTTTCTCCTTATGAAGGATATAAAAATGTGTTCTTTTAGTCAAAATTACAATATTTTATGGTTAAAGAAAGAGGCGGGGGATATATTTATAACCTAAAAGTTTTACAATCTCTTACCATCAAATCTTAACCGTTGATTTCTGTCATCTAACAGTTATAATTTATTGGATCATATTTATTAATTAATATGTTAATAATATTCAAAAATTATAATCGTTAGATTGGCTAAAATCAACGGCTAAGATTTGATGGTAAGAGGTTGTAAAACTTGTAGGATACAAGTATATTCCTCCTCGATAAAAAGTTACACAGTAAAAATCAAGGTGGAAGAAAATAGAAGGTTTTTTTTAATTTAAGTATTAAATAAAGGGTAAAGTATTTTTTCCGTCATTAGAAATAAGTTACTTACAATTACCCCAAAACTACAATTCGTTTTAAATTAACAATGTTGTTTCCTTAATTTTGTTCATTTTTTTATCATATGAATTTTACCAAAACATCTTTCATTAATTTTCTTAAAATTACATAAACACTCTTTATTAATTCAAAACGACATAGTTTTGGGTAGGGGTGTCAACGGGCCGAGCCGAGCCGAGCTTTGATCTTAAAAGGCTAAGCATGTGTTTAAATGTGTCAACCTGACCAAGCCTGTTACCTGTTATGAATATAATTATTGGCCTGTGGCCTGGTTTATTTACAAAAGATAAAAGTCGAGTTTAGCCTATTAACCTGTTTAAAAAAATTAAGGCAACAAAAATTTATCCAAACAGAATATACAATCAACAGCACTAGTAATTCCATAAATATTTATAAATTCAATGTATATCCAAACAGCATAATATAGAACTAAATAATTGAAAAAGTCTGTTTAACCAATAAAATGGATGAAATGGATTGAGGAGAGAGAAGTGACTCTTACAACTAGTATAAAAAATATAAAATAAAAATTAATATACTAGGTCAGCCTGAGAGGCTCTAAGACCGAACTTTTGAATTGGAGCCTGAGGCCTTTTATTAAACGAGTTTTTATATAAGTCCAAGCATGGTTCCAAGTTCCAACAACCAATTTTAGACATGTAAGCTTAGGCCTTCACGAGCCGAGCCAAAGGCTCCTGGTTCGTTTATCACCCGTAGTTCCAACAACCAATCTCATAGGAGAGGGGTCAGGGTTGGCCCAGGTAAACGCGGGAGGCGGAGTGGAGTTTTAAAACACTGCACAAAAGTGCCAAAAATATTTTTCCTTTGTTAACTTATTTTTTTTGTGAATGAAATAATTAATCTCAGCAGAAGAAGTTATTAATGGAAAAACAAAAAAACAATTATAAAATTAAAAGGAGAATATTCAATGATATTTCCGTAACGTAAATTATCATTTGAATTGATTAATTAACAACTGATTTACCAAAGAAAAATTAATTAACCACTGAAAGTGATTATTTTGTCTTTTACGTTGATTTTAAGTAGTTCGCAAATCGCAAGTTTGTTTTTAGGTTTCGTTTGTCAGCCACGTGAGCTGTTTTATTCAATCTAGACAGCCAACATTATAGGCTATGTAAGTATTGACATAATTTACTAAAAAAAATAATTGACATAATAAAAGTGAAATATAGAATAAAATAAATTTATGATTATTATTATTTAAACTATTTTAAACAATAAAAGAGAATATGATGAGTTGTATTTTGTTTTGTTTATTTAATATTTCTTTTCAATTTGGAAAAATACGATGGAACTAATTTATTATAAATAAATTTCCTTAATATTTTTTCTACTTCCTAAATAACTAAACAAAAAATTTATTTATTCATTGTAATATAATTAAACAATGATATATGGAAATAACATCTATCCTTTTAAAGGATATAAACTTATATCATTTTAGATTCTAACCGTTGATTTTCGTCTATCAACGGTTATAATTTATTGGATTAAAATTATTAATTAAATAATAATAAATTTGGCCATTAAGTTTAGCCCAATAGATTATAACCGTTGATGAACGGAAATCAACGGTTATGATTTAAAAGGATATAAATTTATATCCTTTAAAAGAATAGATATTTTTCCCATGATATAATTATTTTATTTTATTTTATTTTATTTCGTATTATTTTATCTCATTTTACTCACCATTAAATATCTAAACATTATTTCATTTGTCAACCAACATCACAAGAGCTAAATCATGCCTAAAGATATGGTTTATATTTCTTTCGTCAGAGTTTTAGTATAATTGAGGATAAGCCCTTCCTGTAACAAAATAAATTTGTATATTTGTATATTATCCCGAACTCATGAATGGCTTTTATTATAGGGCTTTATTAATCTCCATTAATAGGAGAGAAGTATCTCCTACCACTCTCACAATCATGTAATGGGACCCGCATAATTATAAAATAAAAAAATAAAAAAACTCAAGGATCGATGTTTCTGTAGGAAAATAAACCTATCTCCTGTGACATAAGACTAATTTTTTCCTTTATTATAACTGATTTCAGCACTCGTTGCTTTAAGTACGAGCAAACTTTGGCCGCTACTCTTGGACCATACATCACTTCTAATTCTAAAACAGGAAAAATTTGGATTTGAAAGGACTGATGAGAAAAATTTTGGATTTGAAAGGAATGATGAGAAAAGTCTTGGACAAGTGGTATTAAAATTTTAGAATTTCGGAAAATTCTGTGCCAACTCAGTACAGAAAAGTAGGCTCTGTATGCAAAGACTTCAAGGCTGAATATTCAAATTGTTCATTGAAAAAATATCTTGAGTGCCATGCTAAGACCGTCAAGTTAAAGTGCTGCAGCGTGCCAGTCAGAAACCAGTCCAACGTCATACTAACAAAGGATGGACTGTACCTTAATCAATAAATAGAAAAATTCGATTCCTACAATTTTGCGTTACCTACCCAATAATTCAAGCTTAATCTATGGTGAAAATTCTAGTCTAATATTTTCTGTGTCGGCTTATTGAGATGGGGTGGAAATTCTATTCAAATGTTTCCAAGAAAAAAAAAAATTCTATTCAAAGGAAAACATGTGGCAGCTTAGGTAGTAAGTGAGGAGAACATTGTTGGTTAGTCAATTTTTTTTTCTCCTTTTAAATATGAGATAGATTATTCTATCTATTCTTATTTTATCTATCTTTCTCTACTCCTTTTAATACCGTTCGATTATAATTCCTTTCAACAGTCAATATTTGTGATATAAAAAAAAAAAAATTCTCCCTGTTTTTTTACCTCACTTCCTCCCACACCCTTTCTCTCTTCTCCTCTTTCTCTCTCCTCCCCTTTCTCACTTCCTCTACCACCAATCCTCTTTACCTTTCAAAACTTCCGCTGCCAATTTCACGGAATTTCCGTATCTATTTTAAATTTATTCAAAATACTTTGTACGCACATGTACTTGGCCTCGAAGCCCTGAACAATTTTTTACTTGATTTTTGTGAAATGCGAACTCTTAATGTAGGAAATCGTAAAGTTTGTTACTCAATTTCATTAACTTGGAAAGTAATAGAAACTCATTTTTAAGCATCGTAATAGGTATTCACTGTGAATCGTGTTCACATTTATTGCTTGTATAAAAAAAAATTAAAATAGATACATAGAGATTAGAAGGATGTGGACGGATAATTTAAAATAGGTATAGGTATTGGTGGCAGAGGAAGAAAGTAAGGGGAGGATAGAGAAAGGTAGGAGGAAGTGAGGAGAGAGGAAGAGAGAAAGGGGAGGAGAGAGAAAGGATGTGGGAGGAAGTGAGGAGAAAGAAAGTGGAAAAAAGATTTTTTTATATCACAAATATCGATCGTTGGATGTGATTGTAATCGAACGATATTAAAAAGGGTAGGCAGAATAACCTATCCCTTTAAATAAAGGAGTAGTCAGCAAAGCACGGACACACTACTTTTTTCAAAAGATACGTGTCGGACACCGACATGCTTCGAAACGTTCCGACACGCGATCAATGCTCTGACACATTTCGACACGTTTTTCTGACACGCAGTCAACTTTTTTCGACATGCGGTCAACGCCCTGACAAGCATCCGACACTTTTTTTTTACTTCTTAATTTTATTTTATTAACTAAACATAAAAAAATTATAAATCAATTTTTTTCTGTTATTATATTTGACATAAAAAATTATGTACGAAAAATTATTTTTGTTTATATTTATGTTATGAAATTTGAATATTTGATTGATTATATGTCTTATTATGGGCTGCTATATGTATTAAATATAAATTATATTATATATATTAAAAATATTATTTAATATCAAACGTGTCCCAATATGGCAAAATATGACATTTTTTAGAATTAACGTGTCGGCGTGTCGTGTCGTGTCCTGTATCAGTGTCGGTGCATCATAGGGTGTAGTTTAGTTGGCAATAGAATAGAATATAGAAAAAGTTAGAGTTCAATTCTCACCAAATACTTCAATAAAGAGGGGCCGAGATTTTTAACTATGATTAACTATAGTACAGTTATAGATTTTAACAATGTTATTAAACCTGATCAAGGTACAGGTACATTTGATTATTGGTTCAATCAATAAGTCACCAATTCAACCACATAACCAGATAAGTATAAACAAATCTATAATTTATATTAAAAAAAATATAAACATACTCAAATACTTGTACAAAATAATATTAATTCCAAATATTTTAATATGAAAAATAATAAATCACACATCATTATCCAACAAATGATCAAACAAACATATAATGCTTGTGATACTAGTGCTTCAGGTTCAGTAGACGACTATCTCTAGCTATAAATTAAATCAAAATTCCTTACATAGTACATAACCAAGATAATATTAGTGTTATAGATCAATAAGCAACAAATCACTCGTATATTTCAAAAGAAAACATACCATTTGTGGATTTTAAAAAACATATCCTTTATGAACTTTTTTTAAAATAAACTTTTTTTTTATGAATAGGGTCGGGCGACCGATTTTCATCAAAATTGGTCGGGTTGCACCGATTCCAATGCTTGGACAATCCGCTGCTTCATCTAGATCGATTATATGACCAATTTATCAGTTCCAAATTGATCCGACCGGCCGATCCAGATTTATTAACACTGGATTTAAAAAATAAATAAAAGATACACCAATTTGTATTAGGTGAGTGAAGAAGTACAACCACAAAATTATAAAAGGTTAAGTGTGTGTCTTTTTAAAGGATACAAATTGTGTCATTTTAGTGATTAACATTATATACTTCGGGTAGTATATAGTTATAGTTTGAAAAAAAAAATTCTCTCTCCACGTTAGCTGAAGTGATTGAGGAGAGAGAAAAAAATAATTTTTCATACTATAACTATATATACTACTCATAATACATAGTGTTAAAAAAGACACAATTTTATATCTCTTCAAAGGACAAACCTTTTTCCCAATTATAAATGGGAAAGGTTATATTTATAAACTTTTTGTTTATAAACTCTTACAAACTACGTTATGTCTGATCGGTCATACTTCAATTAAGAGTGTATGACCGGTCATAATTTGTAACAAAAGTTTGTAAATGGATCCTTCTCCATTATAAATAACTACAAAAGAGTGTAATGGGGAAGGTTATATCTATAAACTTTTTGTTTACAAACTCTTACAATCTACATTATGTCTGATCGAGCATACTTCAATCAAGAGTGTATGACCGGTCATAATTTCTAACAAAAGTTTATAAAGGGATCCTTCTCCATTATAAATAACTACAAAAGATATAAGGAATAATAATGATATAAAATAAGGGGGTGTACTAATCACATTTGTATTTTAAGGTAAAATAGAAACTCAGCCATCAAAATTGAATCACCTACCGAAGTTCACCTACCCCGACCAAATTTTGTACTGTTGTACATACACTTACCTCAATATTTGGCCGCCCAAAGCATTGAGATTCGAACTTGTGGCTTGTACTGAAGAACACGAGTGTGAAGAAACAAGATGAGGCTTTATTATTTTATTGTCTCTTGACTCTGTTCTACATCTCAAAACATATAAAAAGCTACAACTAGTTTATGCTTTATATTCATATCCATAGAAACTCAAGAAATCGGCAGAGTTTAGAACCCCAAAAAAAAAAAAATGGATTTCAGTACCAATGGCACTGAAGAAAATGAACTGTATCATGCTCAAATCCATTTGTACAAGCATGTATACAACTTCGTAAGCTCCATGGCTCTTAAGTCTGCTATGGAGTTAGGGGTAGCAGACATAATCCATGACCATGGAAAACCCATCACCCTTCCTGAATTGGCTTCAGCTTTGAAACTTCACCCCTCAAAAGTCAGTGTCCTCCATCGGTTCTTGCGCCTCCTAACACACAATGGATTCTTTGCCAAAGTTCAAGTCAAAGAAGGAGAACAAGAAGAAGAAGCATATGTTCTGACTCCTCCATCGAAGCTTCTCATCAGAAGCAAGCCAACATGTTTAGCACCAATAGTTCGAGGAGCACTTCATTCAAGTTCGCTAGACATGTGGAGTGCCTCAAAGAAATGGTTCACTGAGGATAAGGAACAAACGCTATTTGAGAGCGCAACAGGGGAGAGCTTCTGGCACTTTCTTAACAAAGATTCTGATACATTGAGCATGTTTCAAGAGGCCATGGCAGCTGATTCCCGCATATTCAAGCTAGCTCTTGAGGAATGCAAACATGTATTTGAGGGTTTGGGTTCCATTGTCGATGTTGGAGGCGGCACTGGTGGCGTCACAAAGCTCATCCATGAAGCATTCCCTCACTTGAAATGCATAGTATTTGACCAACCAGAGGTTGTGGCTAACTTGTCTGGTGATGAAAATTTGAGTTTTGTTGGTGGAGATATGTTCAAGTCCATCCCTTCTGCTGATGCTGTTTTACTCAAGGTATGTTCATATAATATATAATTATTAATGTAATGTTCATTTAACTGTTAAAACTCTTGGATTGAATTGATATTTTCTATTATTTATCCATAGTCTAATAGATTTTTATACAATAGAACGTATTGAAAAAATATAATATAGAATTATTAATATAATCTTTATATAATTGCTTAATCTTTTGGATTGGATTTATCTGTTGTGATAAAGCTAAAGCAGCATGTTGTGTACCGATATACTAAATAGCTAAATTCTCAATGATTTTGCAGTGGGTTCTGCATGACTGGAATGACGAACTCTCCTTGAAGATATTGAAGAACTGCAAAGAAGCTATTTCAGGGAAAGGGAAAGAAGGAAAGGTGATTATCATAGACATATCAATTGATGAAACAAGTGATGGTCGCGAATTGACTGAGTTGAAACTGGACTATGACTTGGTTATGCTGACTATGTTCAACGGAAAAGAAAGAGAAAAGAAAGAATGGGACAAACTCATATCCGAGGCTGGCTTCAGCAACTACAAGATTACCCCCATTTGTGGCTTCAAGTCTCTCATCGAAGTTTTTCCTTAAATTAATTAGAACTTGTTGCAATAATCAATTTATGTTACAATTTCAATAAGTTTCTACTTGAGAATCAAATCCAAAGTATTTATTACTGCATATTAGGAATGAATTTTCTAAGGTTTCTCTTTGCATAGAGATCATTGTTCCCTACTTGGAAAATATTTTGTTTCCCTCTCGGTACTCAAAAGGGAAGAAAATTAAGCTCTTGTTAATTGCTGAGAAAGTTAAATCTAATTTGGAAGGTTTGAAAGTAAATTTCTTTTGAGAGCATTATACAATAAAATGTTTGTGGAATGTGGTCCCTCAACTCATATATTTCTTTAATCTTTTTCCCACTGACACTTCAATAGGAAGTATACTATATTACAAAAGATTTTAATTTTCTATTTTTGCTATAGCAAAAATTTCTCTGCCACGTTCGCATGAAAGAGAATGAATTTTTGTTCTCTCTCTTTCTTTTATAATGAGACCCACCAACCTTTATTTGAACGTGACAAAGAAAATTTTTTTACCGTAGAAGCAAAAATATATTTCCCATAATTAAAATATATGAATTTATTTTTTCTGCAGACACTGTAAATAAATTATCTGTATTGAGCCTAATACGACGTTGTTTTGATGCAGAAATTATGATATTTTTATAATTTTAATTTATTTCAAAGTTATTGTAATCTTTATCATTATACTTTTTTAATCTTTTAACTCCAAAATGACATCGTTTTGGGAGTGACTGCAGAAATATTTTTCTGAAAATATACGTATTAAAAAGTGAGTGATATTTAAGTCAAAAAAAAGTACAGAAAAATATAATTTTGCACTATATTTATGTTTTCTTTCTTTGAATAGGGTAAAAAATTTCTCCACTCAATGGAGATAAGTTATCTCCGGTGAGCCCAAAAAAATATTATTTTGAGACAAAAATCGAGGTGTTTTTGTAACTCTAATATATTGCAGGATTATATTAGTCTTTATCATTATAATTTTTTAATCTTATAACTCATAATAACGTCGTTTTGAACTCACTGAAGATTATTTTATCTCTAGTGACTGGAGAAATACTTTTTCCAAAAAATAGATATAAAATATGTTACAACACAAAATTTAACATAAAAATAATGTATTAATATGGGAAAAATGTTTGTTCTTTTAAATGACATAACTTATATGTAGGGCTGTGCAAAAAAACTGGTTCACTTGCCCTGCCCTTGATCCGACCTTGACCCGACCCATAAATACCCATATTTTTTGAACTGGTTTAAATATTGACCCACTTTTATTTGGGTCAGTTTTAGACCTGACTCGTTTTAATATTGACCCACTGACCCAAAACTTGACCCATACCCATTATGTAAAAAAAAAATCACAATTACATTAAAAGAAAAGTTTTAACGTAAAACAATTACGTCAAAGTTTTTTATGGAAAATATTTTCATAAAAATTTTACAGATTTCAAATTTCTGCGAAAGTTTTCAACGGAAATATTTTCGTCATCAAAAAAATTTGACGGCAAAAAATTTCATCAAAATTCTTTACAATTTCAAATTTTGGCGAAAGTTTTCGACGGAAACATTTTCGTCATCAAAAAATTTTGACGGCAAAAAATTTCGACGGCAAAAATATTCATCAAAATTCTTTACAGATTTCAAATTTCGGCGAAAGTTTGCGACGAAAAAATTTTCGATAAATTTTTTGACAAAAAAAAATTTTCGTCGAAATTTTTAGCGAAACACATTTCCATCGAAAATTTTCAACTAAATATTTTCGTCAAGTTTTTTGATAAAAAATTTCTATCAAAATTTTCCACGAAACACATTTCTATAAAAAAATCCCGTAAATTTTTTTGACAAAAAAAACATTTTGACGAAAAAAATATTCTGTCAAAGTTCTTTATAAAATCTAAATTTCGTCGAAAGTTTCAAATGAAACATTTCCCTCGAAATAATTTTCGTCAAAATTTTCGTCAGAACACATTCCCATCGAAATTTTGAACGAAAAACATTCCGTTAAATTTTTTGACAAAATTCTTTTTACGTTTAAAACATTTGATGGAAGAAATTATTTTCGTCAAAACTGTTGACGGAAACTAAATTTCAATAGAAATTTTTTTTTTTGTAAAAATTTCGACGAAAAAATAATTTTGTGACGAAATTTCCGTCTTTTGCAACGTAAAAATTTCGACAAAATTTTGTGAGAAAACCAAGTCAAAAACGGGTCAGGTCAGATTTGACCCAGTTCAGAAACCAAGTCAGACCCACTTCAGAAACCAAGTCAGGTCAGATCCAAACTAGTTTTGAACTAGTTCAACAAAATCCAATCCAAGTCAGACCTGACTTGGATCAAATTAAAGCGGGGCGGGTCAAAATACCTGACCTATAAAAATCAAGTTGGGTCGAGTCGGACAAAAACCTGACCCGACTTGACCCATGCACAGCCCTACTTATATGTCATTTCACTTTCACAAAGAGGTGAGACCCACACCTTTAATTTTTTTTGGTCCACTCTCTCTCTCTCCTTTATTTATTTCTTTCTCTCACTTAAAATGATATAATTTTACATACTTTAAAATGACACAATTTCCCTATTAATATATGTTAGTGAAGGTAGTAAAAGTACTTCTTTGAAAATGAGATGCCTATATGAAAGGAAAAGGACAGGCTTGTGGTCCTAATGCTTGGTAGGGCGCATAATTAATGATCTTAATAAGCAAACATCATAAAATTCTAGCTTGGAAATACAAACAAATTGGCGAAAAAACTAGATTCAGTCAAGATCGGCGATTGCGTGAAGCTGTGCATGATGTTTTAGTAACTGTTGTGAGTCAGGTGGTTTATGTCATTAGTCAATACAAAAATAATAAAAGAATCACATGTCAAGTTAACTGAGCTGTCTAATGTTTATAGCTATCCGATTCCGATCAGATTCTTTGAAAGCAATTTTGTCTCTAAGTAAGTAATTAATAATATATTAATAAATAAATAAATGCTTAATTACTCATCTTAAAGTAATTATACTTTACAGATTTTCCCCCCTTCGTCAGCAACGTTTTCCACAGAAATAGACATGAGAAAAGTGACTACTAATTAACAAGTGATTCATACGGTGAAATAACTAACAGCACAGAGTAGCCAAAAGATTCGGTAACTTAATGTAAATGCGAATTGCGTCATTGGGTTAACGAAAATATCAGAAAAGAGATGAATAGTAAATATTCTCGGGTTTTTTAAAATAAAAAAATTCTAGATTTATAATAACTGACAAGTGACAGCGTTGTGGTTTACTAATAAACATTCTTGAAGAAAAAGAAGTGTGTCGTCTAGCCGAGTGGTTGGCGTAGATCAAGCCATTTTGACGGAGACACCATCGATCACTAACATATCAACCAGGATCGTTTCCTTTTAAGTTTTATAACAAATAAGAGAAATCAAATTATCTAATAGTTTATTTAGTTTTTAAAAGTTTATTGTGGGATTTAATTTAGAGGAGAGATATTCTTACTACTAAAATCTTCTACTACTAACTCTCTACCTATCTGATCACCATTAGATTAATATTTTCTCTTTTTTCAAAAACTTTTTAGCATTCTCTCTCTTTGGTTCTATGGTGATTAGATAGATAGTAAGTTAGTAGTAAAAAATTTTGGTAGTAAGAATATCTTTTCTCTTTAATTTATGATAAATTATGAAGAAGTAAATGCAATTAAATTATCATGAAAATATTAAGATCAAAGTTGTAAGATAAAATATTAAATTTTATGTAATGGTTGGATAAGGTAAATCGTGAGTACGCCTTGAGTTATATTATATTAAAAAAATAATTTTAATTTAAATGAATTTTTAAAATTTGATTTTTCATTTGAAAAAAAATGTAAATTGAGATTAAATTTATTTTTGAAAGATTTTATTTTATTTTGGAAAGATAATTTTTTGAAAATTTTGATTATACTCTTAAAAAAAAATTTGAAAAGTTTTCTTAAAAATCATAATAATCTTAAAAAAAATTAGTGTAAAAATTTAGAGATTTTTCTCAATAAATGATTTTGAAAAAAAGTCTATGAAAATCATATTTTGAGTATTTCTTCATAGTGGGGATGAACAATCAAGAGAAATAACACATTTAACGTATTATGAGTATGGTCTCTTATGGCGCACATTCAAAATAATTTAGCATCTAAAGCATGAATAGATTCATTAAGTCCACATCTTAGGTTTGATTTGTACTTATTTGCTTATTAATTAGAAGCGTGTAAGGTAATTCTTAACTTGTTATTTTGTTTTGTTTTAGTTATTGTCGAAGAAGGAAATTAGGGAGTAATTATCTAGTGATAATTGGGATGTTATACTTTTGGTGTAGAGTTAGTTAAGCTAAAAATGTGTTTAGCCATTGTAAACACATGCCATTAGGGAGCAATTTACTAGTATAAATTGGGGTGCTAAATCTAGAGGTAGGTTTGAGTGAATTTTTGTATAATGGTAGAATAAGTTATACTCTTGTACTTTAAATTTAGCTTGGCTCACTATAATGCATATGTCTCCCAAATATTGGATAAAGGTATCCAAATTGAGGTCATGGATTTTTTTTCCCTTTTTTAGAGTTTTTTTTTCCACATAATTTCCTGTTATCTTTTTACTGATTTTTTTATTAGTCAAAATTATTATTAAAAAATTAGTATTGATTTAAATTTAAAAATTTATATAACTTAATTCACCCACCTCTTGAATTCATCCGGGACTAACACCCGTCACTTCGAAATTCCAATTCATAAAAAATTTCTAGAAAATCTCCATTTTAGATAGATTTTGCTACAAAATTTAGGTTAAACACTACACCAAAAGCGGGATTTAGCGCCGGTATTTTTTGGATTTAACGGCGGTTCAAACTGCCACTAAAAAATTTAGTGGCCAATTGAAAACCGACTCAGGCATGGTAGTTAAAATCCCGATTTAAATCTGTAATTTTACGATTTTACGATTTTTTTCAATCAAAACGATTTCATCAAAATTTCAAACGCTTTTACGATTATTTACGATTTTTGTTATGTTAAGATTTTACGATTTACGATTTTTTATCCTCATTCTTCTGATTTTAGGTAAAATCTCGATTTTAACTACCATGGACTCAGGAAATGCTGACGTTAAATAATTTAGCGACGGTGTGCCGAAACCGTAGGAATAACCGACGCAAAAATCAAACTGATGCTTAATGCATAGAAACCGTCATTATTTATTAGAAAAATAATAATTTTTTATTTATAGCTGTGGTTTAGAACCGCCGCTAAATCATGTAATTCATTTTTTTCTTTTTTATTCTTTTTTGACAACCCATTTTTTTTTAATTAAATATGTTGGTGGTTTCAATTAATATAATTTTTTTTGGTAAACAAATATTTTAAATAGCCACTGAATTGTAAAATTTATTTAAATTATATAATTTCACTCAAACTTTTGCAGTGATTTCATTGATCATAAAAACATTCAGTGTTTATAAATACCTGTCATGATAACATTAAATATATATAAAAAAACTAAATATAATTATAAAATAAATTTGAAAAGTCTAACATTAAAAATTAATAAATTCAAATATATGACAAACAAAGTACATAAGTCTTTTACAAATTAATCATAAAAGTAATTACAATGTCAATATATAAACATAAGTAATCTACTATGGCTGATGAGTAACAGATTGTGAAGAAGGTTGAGCATGAGAATGTTGCTCTGCTACCAGCATTAAAATTAAAAAAATATTTTTAGCACAAATACAAAAAAAATTAAATTCTTACAAAAGAAATAGCAACTTACTTGATCATCAATAACAATATTTAATTCAACAGGTATAGGTAAAGACATATTTTGATACAACTTAGCAAGCATGTCTTCCATTGATTTTCTTTTCTGAACTTCTAACTGTAGCTGTGATATACTAACAGAAACTGATTAACCAAGCTTCAACAACCCCACATTTCAGCAATATACTAATAGTAACAAAATTTAATGTAAGAGAAGCTAATAAAAAATACATGTTCTACTTTAATACAAACATGAAGAGAAAAAAAGTAGGACAAGAGGATAGAAAAAAAAAGTTCATATTTCAGAATACATCAAATTCAACCCACATACACAAAAAGACAAAATCCCACAACAAATGAAGCACTGAGCTCCAAGTTAAGAAGGAGAATAATAGGAGTCAATTACAATAACTTATAAAACAAAGCTCAAAAACTAGAATGATCATTGCTCAACCTCGTTTGGATAACTCAATTCCCTAGCAATAAAATTATTTTGAAAATAAAAGCAACTCAATTCCCTAGCAATAAAATCATTTTAAAAATAAAAGCAACTCAATTCCAAGATGCAACTCAGACACAGAAAACTCAAGTTCAGTTCATTCATAGTTCAACCAACTTCATCGAAATTACCAAATCCCTAGCACCGTACAACATGACTATAAACAACATTGAGTGGACTTCGAGTCATCATCGACGCATTCTAGTTATTAAAAGTAGTATAATCACTTGAAAACAAACCTGAGGTATGTACTCAAATAAAGGCGTTAGAAACAAAAGTGCACAGGTCATTATAATTCCTGAAACAATCTCAGATACTCCAGATTTTGCACCACTTTCATGATTAACAACTCACCTTGAAAAGGATCCTACATTACTCATCCAAAAGAAATGAAAAGAATGAACCAAGAACATTGGAAACACCAAGACCGAATAACTGTCCAAAAATATCCAGAAGAATAGTGTGAAAGATTTCTACTTGAAAAAACAGAAACCATTCTTTCTTATCCAAAAATATTCCCAGAACTACTGCTGTAAGAGGACCTGAAGCTCTCAAGAATCGCAAGTGCTTCCTCGATTTTCCCTGGATGTATAACATCAATATAATGAGTAGGATGTTGACAAGAACGATAAGTATGATAGCAAACATCATAGGTAGGTTCATACCAGGTGCTTCATGACAAGTAGTATTGCAAGCGTAACTGATCCCATCACAAAAGGGGGCCATGAAAACTACAAAAGGGAAAACCTCCTATGTTAAAGAATGAGGTTTGATAAGTGAAAACACCATAACGACTTAGGAAAGAAAATAAATAAATACACAAATGAACATAAATGGTACTTAAAAAGTATTAATAAATAACAGGACCATCACAGGCTGAAGTTCAAAATGGGAATCTCAAATGAAAATATTATATTATGCATATTAAAGGGAACATTAATTTGATAAATTGAAATTAAACATATGTCAACATGCACCGTGATCAAGTACATTAACAGTAATTATTGCCGTAATGCCTACTAGAAGAGGATGATGACATCGGACCTACTGAAAGTTAAATTTCGAACCATAAAGACATGTTTATTTTACTACTTAGTATTTACTATGCAAATTTTCCTTTTAACTTGTGTGTCATGAATACGGTTCCACTTTTCAACCAACATCTACAACTTTGCAACTTGAAATGAAGCAACAAATATCTGACTCGGTGAAAAATTTTAAACAGAGGAATCATAAACATATCAAAAGCTTCATTTGTAAACTCATTCTTCAGAAACCTTCAAACAAACAGAGCTTTAAGGGTTTCATATCAAACTGCATATTCTTCTTGAAAAATTTATGCCAAATATTTATAACACACGATATACTAGCTTCAAGAAATCCTAGGTTATGAATAACAAATTCTCTTAAATTCCGAATATACTTATGATTATACAGGTGTTTATAATATCCCATAGATATTACTTCAGCATAACTGTTTAGTATTATTAGCATCAGTACTTTGCTACTAGAATGACATATGATGCTCAAGTCTCAAGAAAGCTAGTGATAAGGACATGGCATAAAGTAAAAAGTTTAGGCTGGTGTACTCAAGGAAGAGGAGTAGAGGATTGTAAGCTCCTAATACTAATGCTGAGTCAGCAACTAGTTAGAATGGAATATTAGGGTATTGAGTCACACAATCAGCACCCCACGGTTACATACAACAGAGAATAATTCAGTTGTGGATCATCTTGGAGTTTTGGGTCATTGGCTAGAACCATAGGAGAGAACTAGGGCCTCTTGAATGCTCTGGGTAGTGATGTCTTTGTGGGTTATTTCGTTATTATTTCTAGCTCTGTCTCTTTTTACTTGTAGTTTCCTTTTCAGCATCCGTTATTTCCTTTGGACCTCGCATTGTAATATTGTGACTGAACTTGAGATAGGATTCAGTTTTATTGCTTTTATTTCCATTTTTTTCCTTATCGTGATCTGAATCCTATCAGCTAGCTTTAATGTCAAACTGTCTTGATATTTTGGTTTACCAATAATTATGAAGCAAATTGTGATATCCCACGGAATTATTAGTACTAGTAAGCTATTGTTTTAGTTAAGTTTACAAATTCAATCCAAGGAATTCTAGTATTTTTTGTGTTTTCTGCTCATCCCATACTTGAATTTAGTCTATAGCTTAAATTAGCCTGATAATCTCTAGTTCCCATACTTTTTGGAAATTTTCAGATAGGTCCCAGTAATTCATAATTGGAATTAGAGAATTATTTGAAACAATAAGGACCCAATCAACAATTTTAAACTATAGGAACCTATTTGAAAATTTTCAGAAATTATAGGGACCTACAGATTAATTTAATTTAGTTTATATTATTTAGATGTCACTGGCTATTGTTTTAGAGTCCATGTTTTCTTTGTGGGTTTAGTGATAACAAGCCTCAATCCTAATCCTCTAAGGATGAGCTAATGAGGTCAATTTGAATGTTCATAATGCATTCATTCAGATTCAATGTTGAATTCTGAGCTTTTCAGCAAATTGCCAACTTGTTGGTTGTGTGGGCCAACCAATTCTAGGTGTAAGCATGATGCAAAAGGAACCATAAATGTTGAGTTTAAATTATTTTTCTTCTTCTCAAATATTCTCTTTTGTTTAATTTTTTGACCCTCCCAAACCTAATTTACTTTGACAGAGTTAGCATCCGTTCCAAAAGAGCCATCATTGTCCCTTGTGTAAATTGACCCAAGTACCTATCAAAACCATAATCCTAATTTGGAAGGTGTTGTTCACCACACCCAAGCAGTCATTGAATTGTCCCTAAAACTCCATTTTTTGTATGTAAAATTGTTATTTCCTTAATAAAATAAATCTTAAAGATAAAATCTACCCATTTCCACCTATAATTCACCCTACAAAATCAAACTATTATCAAGCTTATTCCTAATTTCTTGGGTTTCCTATACCATTTGGTTATCAGAAGCATCTATAAGTGTATGTACTAAAGGTTAAAAATTAAATAGATGCATACCTTATCTGCTCCAGCTATTATACTCTTAGCCAGTGGTATGATCTTGCTACTTCTGTCAATATCATACCCAAGAAGTGTTTCACTTGAGATAAACCAATCACAATAGCTGAAGCAGTTGTAAAGCCAGAGATCACCGAATGGCTAATAAAATGAATCAGCCAACCAAGCCTGAAATAACCAAAAGACAAGCACATACATAGGTTATCCTTAAAATTCCTATCATAAGAAAAGTCAGGCTTGTTGCTGATTGGTTAGTCTGCAGAATCATATAACTGCTACAACTAAGAGTCCAATCACTCGTTGCGGTATTAAGTAGTCATGTTGCAATTCAAGCCATTACAATTACCATGACATTACTACAGCCATGTTCATTGGCTTGTCAAAATAATGATTTGATCACTTATACATGTATAGATGCATGAACACTGAAGAGAAAGTACAATTCTATATTTAGTTAGAGTATTAGATTCCTGAAAGAGAAAGCACAATGAAGGAAAATTTCATGCATGGATTCATAGCCAAATTGATAAATTGATAAAAATAAGGAATGGCAAAAATACCTCAAGAGTCCCATTATGCACTCCAGTATCCCAACCATAAGAGACAGCAATATTGCCAGCTTTGTGTATAATTCACTGGATGGATCAACAATGCTACTTAACACATTAGAAACCAAGAGAGAAACCAATGTTACTGGGCCAACTGCAAGCTAGCGAGAAGACCCAAATATGGCTACACAAATAAGGGCACAAAATCAGCATCTTCCTTGCAAAGAGAATAACATTAATAACCAGGTGTTACAGAGAATTTCAGGATGTAAAAGAGGAACAACTAGAAATGTAGGAAAAATAATATGAAACTGACAAACAACTGGTGAGAGAAAAAGCTAGAATTTTGTCAATATGAACATAACATGAACATCACAGTTGTTTAGATCAATGATAGATAAGATTCATAAGGATAAAACTTTGGGACATGCTAGGTATAAGAACACACTAAGTGAGTCATAACCAATTAAATCTTAGTCATAATCAATTATTGAAAATTAATTTTATAAGAAAAAAATTAGAAGAAGGATCTTACCGTGGTTGGTATAAGAACACACTAAGTGAGTAATAACCAATTAAATTTTAGGGACAATGCTTACCATACCTCAAAGCAAGCACACAATAGTACTAACTCTGATTATACATCGATAAATTTGGGGTCCCACACGACAACCAAGGCTTCCATTTTAAGTTCAGTACCAGTCCACAACAATAGAAGCCTTCCATTTTGAGCCATTGCTTCTGAAAGAACAAATACACTATTGCATTTAACGTATTTCTTTCCAACATGACATGACATGATCATGTTAATTAAAACATGAGAAAGTTCACTTCCATTTTCCCCAGACTCATATAAAAAGGATAATGCACGGAAATAAAACACCAGTCTGCAGGGCAATAGAACACTATATGCAAGTTAAATGAAAACTATTTAAAAACAAAAAAGAAAAAGAATTGTTTGTCATCCATTTTACAATATTTGAACTAAGTTTGATAATACTATATTAAGTACCCAATATTTTGCCACGTCGACAGAAAAAGTACAACTTATAAAATTAATATATTTGTTTAAAAAAAACATCAAATCGTTTTATATTACCGATAAGCATACTTCTTTTTTAGGAACTTACTATGAAGTAGTTCAGCATACATAACATACAAAATCAAAGTAATAAAGACATTCTATGACTAAATAGTTTTCTCTCTTCAATAATCTTACTGAAACAACATAAACTACGCCTCAGGCAAGTAGCAAATGGCTCGCTATTTCCCGTAGAAGAACAATCTCCTTTCGCTCCCCAATATAATCAGGGACTTGTCATGACCGCAACACTTCAGAAACAAAACCACCATTCAGAAACCAAACCACAATCATGAAGTCTCTTGCCAACTTTCACAATATTTCATGTTATTCTAAATACTAGTTCCCAATTAATATTTTTCCCTTTAATAAATACTAATTTTTATTAGTGACTACTGCTACTCCTACAAAATGCAACTAAACTATTCGAATTTGATAAATCACCATCATAACCTGAGCTAAATTAGAAAATATTGGAAAGTAAGCATGAGAACTGGGACTAAATCAAACACATACAAGATTCGCAGTATACCCCTCGCAGCCAAATACTCCAAAACCTGTAAAAGATTGATTCGAATATTCAATTAAATTGTCGCCGAGCATGCAAATTAATTGTTAAACCAAAACATCATCACATTGTCAACGATGAAAGCAAAATCTTCCAGAACTTGATGATGAAACTCTATTCAGTTTCAGCAAGGACCACAAAACTGAGAGAAAATGAAGATTTGAAATGCATAAAATGCATAAATTAAACAAGAGGGAAGCACTAATCGCTAAATAAAGTAGGGTTCGTGAGGTGAGTGAGCAAGTGGAAATGCTATATGAGACTATGAGAGCGAGAGGGTTTGGGTCGTTTGGGAATAAAGTGTCATGGGTTATTTTAAACGACATTGTTTTTATTTTCCATCATGGATGGGCCCGTTCTTTTTTCCTATGCTTGGCGCTTATTGGTGTACAATACTTTATTATCTAATTTTCATTGATTTAATCCTTTGATGGGTTCATTTTTTTACGCAACCCAAGTTATCATCCTTCAATATTAGTGGCATTTATCTATAACCGACGTAATTCAACCGTCAGTGAATACCGTTTTTCCTGTAGTGAAAGTAACAATTTAGCAACAGATTTAGTGGTAGAGTAATTTAGAAAGGACAAATTCCACACATATTATCCTTTTAGGATGTTATGATGAACTAGCAATCGGAAAATGTATTAAAAATTTCTTTGCATCTTAAAATGGTTCAGAAAAATAAGTAGTTTGATTCATCTTGCTTAGTTTTTTCACACTTAAAGAAATGGATATGGTTCGGTTCATTTCGTTTTTAAGTCTGAACCAAACCAATTCAATTAAGTGTTTTGGATCAAGAATTAAGCCAATTTTAAAAAATAATTCGGTTTTTAAACGGGTTTTAAAAAATGTGGTTCTATTAGTGCAGTTAGATCAATTTATAATTCAGTTTGGTTCATTTGGTTTTTTATATATCCATATTTATAATAAATCACCGATAAACCGTAGGTGTTGCATTATATCTTGGAGGATTAAAGTTTATTATTAGATTATATGTTGATTTGGATTTTGCGAAGTTTGATATCTGACCATGTGTTTACACTTATAGGAAGAGGGCAAAAAAAAATTAAAATATTACTATTTTAATAAATAATTACGAATACATAGTTGTTTCAAAACTATCTACGGATCTATTGCACTCATTCACGCTCAAATTAGACGTGACTATTCACGCCCAAATTAGGCGTGACTCCCAAGGCATTCACGCCTAATTTAGGCGTGAGTCATCTAGTATTGACACATGGCAAAAAAAGTCAACTTACGAACCGTAAAACTTTGGAAAGCCATAACTTTTGACTCGGATATCCGAACGAGGTAATTCTTTTTTGATTCCACATAACTTTTCGAGATCTACGTAATGACATCTCATGTAATATATTTTATCTCTCACAAACACAATTCAAATTTGCAATAATTGTATTATATAGTGTATTACCAAAAATATTAAAAAATTATTGTTAATAAGAAAAACAAAATAAATATTTAATTTGTGATTTAAACTCAAAAATCAATTTGAAAAATCTGTATTAATAAAGAAAATAATTAAATAAATATTCTAAACACTTGGTATAATATTATATAAATTTGTATATATTTTAATAATTAATTACGAATAAGTTGTCGTTTTGAACCTAATTACGAATATATTGCACTCATTCACGCCCAATAATGGTACTATAACATTAAATTCAAAATTCAAATAACCTCCAGTAAGTTGATTGCATTTTGTATTTAATAGGAGTTGATTGTGTTTTGTATTTAATAGGAGCTGATTGCGTTGTAATTTTATAAGTTGGTTACAAATTGTCGCCAATTCAAATAAATTTGCTAGAGGTTATTTGAATTTTGAATTTAATGTTATAGGAGTTGATTGCGTTTTGTATTTAATAGGAGCTAATTGTGTTTTGTATTTAATAGGAGCTGATTGCGTTTTGTATTTAATAGTAAATTTGGTGCCATCTTATTTATAGATGAGTTAATCCACTTTGGTGTCATCTTTATAGTATCATTGTTGCAAATTTGAATTGTGTTTGTGAGAGATAAAATATATCAAATGAAATATCATTTCGTAGATCTCGAAAAGTTATATGGAATCAAAAAAAGAATTACTTCATTCGGATACCCGAGTCAAAAGTTATGGCCTTATAAAGTTTTACGGTTAAACTATTAATTTTTTGTGCCACATGTCAACACCAGACGAGTCACGCCTAATTTAGACGTGAATGCCTTAGGAGTCACGCCTAATTTGGGCGTGAATAGTCATGCCTAATTTGGACGTGAATGAGTGCAATAAATTCGTAGATAGTTTCGAAATAGCTATATATTCGTAATTATTTATAAAATAGTAATATCTTAATTTTTTACCATAGGAAGAGAAATAAGTTAATTATTCAAATTATAAACTTTTGTAACTTTATCTATTACAAAAGTTGAATACATGGTAGCTACCCAAGCATTGAGAAAGCAATTTGGATTTAAATGTTAGTGAAAGAACTCAAATGGAAATAAAAAAAAAGTAATAGAACTTGAAAAGGAACAATCATATCCTTTTTGACTTGTCTATTTGTATATTGTGATAGTTAGATTACCTTATACTTTGCAATCTCGTCTTTGATTCAAAGGTAAACATAAGAGCTTAATACCACTTTATTAGAAAAAATAGTGGAAAAAGGTAGTATGCATATATAAAATATGATATTAATGTTTTTTATGTTATATGAGATAATTTTATCTCTTATACACACATAAAAGTGTGGGGTGCTCATGCGAAGAGAAGAGAGAGAAAAATAAAATATGAATCTCATATACTTTTATGTGTGTGTGTGAGATAAAATTATCTCCAACAATATGAGAATCGCTAATCCCATAAAAGATTCACATCAAATTAAACCTAATACAACCTAAAAAAAGGAAAAATAGACAACCTAATAAATGTTGACGTGGGGTGCTCATGTGAAGAGAAGAAAAAGAAAAAGAAAATCTGGATCTCACATACTTTTATGTGTATGTATGAGATAAAATTATCTTCAATAATATGAGAAACAGTAATCCCATAAAAGATTCACATCAAATTAAACCTAATAAAACTTATAAAAAGGAAAAATAGATAACCTAATAAATGTTATGACAAAACCAAACAAAACTAATGAATTTATATTATAAGTACCTATGTTGCACAGACACTCACACGGGACATGACACGACACTCTCACATATTAAATTTTAAAAATGTTAAATTTTGACATATTATATTATGATATATTTTGATATTAAATAATATTTTTAATTTATGTAGCGTATATTATATTTAATATTCACTAATTTAACAAAAGAATAAAGCTAAACTTATAATACCCATCAATTTTGTAAAGAAAGATGAGATATTACAAATATTTATCTTAAACTCAATAAAATGATAATTGTAGTCCAACAAAATTAATAGTCGGAACTAAAAATGCAACATAACGTGAATTTTGAACTTTTTTTCTAATCTCTACAATACGTGTTAGAGTGTCAATAAATGTCGAAATATTAAAAAATGTCAAAAAGTGCAAGACACAGCGCATTATAATTTTTAAAGTATCCAGTGCATCGTATAAATTATTACATCCTCGAAAGCTACAACACCCATTCTTATGTGGTTATTTAGTATGATAAAGCCATAACTATGAACATCAAGTAGGAAATAAAAGATTCATTAATTTGTCGAGTAGAAGACAGCTTGCATAAGTGCTTTAGGAAAGTATATCACGGGAATCAAGGAAAAGAGAGAGCAAAGCAAGCCTCTTTGGTAAATAATATATTTTTTTTATTCGAAAATCATGATTACAAATGATATGATGAGAAAATAATATAGGGTTTATCTAATTTCATATTATATAAAAAAAAATCTCTCATATTATAGACAAATATATGGTGGGCTCACTATTTACAAAAAAAATAAAAAAAAATTTCATGATTTTCGATAGATCTATAGGAAATAAAATTACTCTTATGTTACATAAGAGTAATTTTTTCCAATAATATAATAGGTAATATAACCAAAAAGTTTTTTACAAGACCAAAATTTTACAAGAAATATTGGGTGAAATTTACTAAATCTATATTTGGTTGATTATAAAATATTACTGAAAATTTGATCTTATTACATATATACACACCGTTGCTTTGGTTTCTTTTTCAACTAGATAAGAATTACAGATAGTTACTTTTGTCACTTTTTTTACAACCCCTTTTTCTATTTTTCCGTCAATCAAACAGAGGGTGGTATTGTTAACAATAATTTTTTTTACAAATTATACATAAAACTGATTACCGAACATCTAACTTTCTTAGATAAATTTTTTTAAAAATTATACCAAACATGATATTCCTACAAATCCATTCTTATTTTCGTAGGTATCCAAAAACGAACTCGTACCAAACACCCAACCTGCGATGTCAGCATTAAGGGGGCGTTTCTTTCGGGAGATTCATCAAGTTATCTGGGGAAGTGATTCCTGCATTTTCAAAACTCCACGTTTGGTTCGCTGGATTCTAAAATATATCCATCTTTCGTTGTTACCCATCTTTCGACAATTGCATGTAATTTTGGTGAAAACGCATGGTTGAGGAATGCTTCTTCGAGGGTAGTATTCTGGCTGAAATCCGGAGAAGTAAAAAAGGATATAATTCGGTTACGAATTTACCCCTCACAAGATGCCATGACAGGATCTCGAAGACGAGATTGAAAGATGGATTAAGGCTTCCAACATCTCTCTCAAGATACTGTTCCCCAGCGAGCGGCGACTCTGCGACCGCGTATTCTTCGGGTTCTCTTCTGCTGCTGACTTCTCTTTCATGGAGGTTTGCAGGGGATCGACAATTCAGTTGCTGAATTTTGCCGATACCGTCGCGATTGGGAGCCATTCGCCGGAGCAATTGTTCAAAATCCTTGATGTGTTCGAGACATTGCGTGACTTAATTCCTGAGTTTGAGTCTCTGTTTTGTGATCAGTACAGTGTGTCGTTCAGGAACGAAGCAATCACAATTTGGAAGAGGTTGGGGGAAGCAATCAGAGGAATTTTCATGGACTTGGAGAATCTGATTCGCCGTGATCCGGCAAAGTCGGCGGTTCCCGGTGGTGGACTTCATCCAATTACTCGCTACGTGATGAACTACCTTCGTGCCGCTTGCCGGTCACGGCAGGCCCTGGAGCAAGTGTTTGAAGACTATGGGTTTCCGTTGAGAGAATACCCCAAGCTTGATGAAGTTCCGTCCTCTTCTTCTCTGTCAGTGCAAATGGATTGGATAATGGAGCTTATGGAGAGCAATTTGGAAGCAAAATCCAGAATCTACAAAGACCCTGCTTTGTGCTATGTTTTCTTCATGAATAACGACAGGTACATAGTTCAGAAGACCAAAGATGGTGAATTGGGAACACTTTTGGGTGATGATTGGATCCGAAAACACACTGCAAAAGTTCGGCAATAAGTTTGTAAAATAAAAGGTTATTTCTAAAAGGGTTATTTTGTAATTTTATTAAATTTATCCATCAATATTTTATCTTCAACCAAACACACATTCAGGAATTTCACATAATTTTCCTGGTAAAATTTTACTTAACCAAACAACTTTTTTTACATTTTCTTACCAAACTCACTTTCCAACCATTTCCCTATCAATTACATTTCCCTACTATTCAAAAAATTTCTCCTTAACCAAACGCCCCCTAACTATTTTCAAATCTAAAGCTAGACAAAGGAGATTAAGAGGTTGTTTGTTTCACCTTTTAGAAAAAGTAACTTTTATCACTTCTTTATTTTAAAAGTACTTTTTATAAAAGTTAAAGTTATTTATATTTTTATAAAAATGTTTACTTTTTGAAAAAAATATTTGAGTTTTGACTTCTGCTTTTCTGAGAAGTTAAAATTTTTAGCTTCTGAAAAAAGTAAGTTTTTGGCTTTTTTTGTGACTTCTCCTTTTTTAAAAAGTAGATATTCAAACGAACTAAAAACGAAAAAGTGCTTTTTTTCTTGAAAAAAATAGCTTTTGAAGAAAAAAAAGCTCATCCAAACGGGTCCTAATTATGATTACCAAAAGGAGATTAATTATGATTACCAAAAGGAGATTAATTATAATAATTTGATAAATTTTTGCAATTTATATATGAATTACTTTTTAGGGTAGTCATTGAACAAGGTTTGTTTCCTTTCAATAACACTTTGAAATTTAAGGTCTTTAATTTTGCGAGTCTTTAATTTTATGAGAAAAGGAAGGCAAAATGTTCTCCAAGAAACAATTGGTCATGGCACATGCCAGACGGTAGATATCTAAGATTGCTTATTCATAACCATTTAATGTACTAATGATTTCATCAGCATTTGCCAGACATGTATAGCCCATGTTTATTTATATTGTTGGTTTACGAAGGACTAAATTTACAATTGTCCAACATTATGTCAATCTCGACTCAAAGTGTCAAGGATGTTTGGTAGATGAGAAATTTTTGTGTTCTTAAAAATTATGATTCTTACGAATATGTTGGGAAAATGAATTTTTCAAAAATATTACCAAAAAATGGTTTGATAGGCAAGAATATTTTCATGAATGTTTGTTCAAATTTCCTGATTATATGTTTGGTTATCATGTCAATAATTCCTGGAAATATGGGATGATTTTGTCAAACTAACCTTTGATGAATTTTTGAAGAAAAAATTTCTGATATGCCATAAAAGGGTCAAAACACAGCATTGGAGATTAAACCCAAATTTCCCAGTTCTTAAACCAGTTTCATTCTCAAACTAGAACAACCCCAAATTATTCTCACAGTTAGTGCTTTAACAAGAGAGGGTAGTCATGAAAATATTAAAGCAGAGTTATTTATGTCCTATAAATTATGTAAAAAAAATTCATCAGGTGAGAATCTAAGAATATATTACCCACCTGGTGGTATTATTTTATAAGATTCTTATTCACAATTTTAATTCTTAGGAACCTCATTTTTTCAAGAAAATTTTAAGAATTCTTATACTAAATTTGGGTAATTAGGATTCTCAATATAAATTTTCTAAAAATCTAAAATTTATCTCTTTATCAAACAGTCCGTGGTGGTATTTTAAGTATTTACTCCATTTGAAACAAAAGCTTTTGCTGGAAGACTTTATTTAGGCTGTCAGCAGCCCACTATTGAAATTGTGGCCCTGCCTTCTACTTATTGTGGGCCTCGGGCCTTATTTACAGGCCTTCAATAATTTATGTGCTTTACTCTTTTTAAATTCTCAAGTTAAATAAGCTGAATGGGTTTCGGAGTTCACCATGTCTGGGCCATAGAGTGACTAGCTAGCCTTGTTATTTTCTTGCCACTGGGCTAACTGAAGGATTTCATGCTGTGTCTGGATTCCAGAGTGCATTCATAGAAAGTGAACTATATTAGTAAACTCCTACTACATTTCAGTATTTCTTAAAAAAACACAATTTCCCCCTTTTTTTTCAATTTGAAGAAATTAAATTGATAGGTAAATTATTTCGAAACCCCATTTCTACGGAAATTTCTATTTCAAAGTCAGTAACGAGAGTTCAGTTTTGTGTTCCAAACAATTTATTTATTTTCTATATAATTAATGCCATATGAATCTTTTTCTTTTTTTTTTTGATAAAAGACCTACTTTCGACCAGTGGCGGACTCAAAAAAAAAATTATGCCCGCACATTTAGTGGCCGAGGTTTGGGGCAACATCTCCGAAATTTTTTTTTGTAAAAAAAGTTTAGATCAACGCTTGAACCCGCTCATAATCTAGTTTCTTCCATAACAAGCTGCAAGCAATATTTTGACCAATTATTTCTCCCCCTAAATCTTACCAATCCTCCAAAACAAATATGAGAATATACTCCAGTACATCCATACATCATCATTCTATTTTATAGTGGTGAATAAAGAAGTCAACACCACCTGTACAGAAGGCAAACAAAATCACAGTCTTTAGATATTAACTTATTTGAGAATGTCAGACCTGCAATCAATCATCTCTTTTTATAAAAATGAAAAAGGAAACAAAGGATAATTGAGCATGAGAATGGGTACGTGACAGGGGGGAAGAATAAGTTTTCTCTCTAATCAATTTGCGTACGTTAACTAATATAAGAATAAATATAATTTTTGGTCCGTAACAAAATATTTGATCCCCACTTTAGTCCATTATAAAAAAAAATTAGTCACTTGGTTCCTATGAAATTCAAAGTGGATCCATTTTGATCTTTTTTAGGGACTAAGTAGGCCTTTTTTGAATTTGTGAGGAATCACGATTTTAACTAAATTGATCCACTTTAAATTTTTTAGGGACCTCGAGACTAATTTTTTTTGTAAGGGACTAAAATGGAGACCATGTTTTTTGTTAGAGACTTAAAAATGTATTTACTCCTAATATATATTGAATCAAGAGACAAATAAGAATTTTCAACCAAAAAAAATTGAATTTTTTTTTTTTATATCCGCACTTGTGAGCATTTGCCGCAAGTGGGTCCACCACTTCCGACAATTGAGATCCCAAATGATAGGGCCCGACTTTGCATTGTAACGTAATCTGCTTCCCATTTGAACCCACATTCTTTGATAATTAAAATAATTTAATGTTAATTAATTTTATAAAGTTAGAAGATATTAATAAATAAATATAAGAAATTATTTATTTCATTTAACACAAAATAAAACTATTTTCCTACATCCACATATAAAGGAGAGAGAAGAGAAAATAGACCAGAGAAAAAATATATAAATGGATCCCTTCACTTAATATATGAGTATAGAAAATTATTTTATCTCATTTTAAATAAAAAACAATTTCCCATAAATATAATTTAAATTATATTTATTGACGATTTAAAAAACTATTATGATTCAAAAGTTTAAGTTAATAGGTGAGCTTATATTATATTAATAATTTATTTTTCTCTAACATATCACTTTACATAATATTTAATGATTTTTATTAATAAAATAAAAGTTGTGAAGATCAAACTCATGATTATTTAATTATATTAATTCTGATATCATATAAAAATATTGGGGAATGTGTGTATAATTTTGAAAGACATGAAGTTTTGTCATTTTAAGTGAGGAAAAGAGATAAATCATGAAAGAGAGAATGAGTGGAAAATTTTTTAAAGATGTGGGTTCCACCTCTTTGTAAGAGTGAAAGGATATAAGGTGTGTCATCTAAAATGACATATCTTTTTCCAAAAAAATTATTTTAGTAGAAAAATTTAACATGATGAATGAAATGAATTTTAAAGAATGATAATGTAGACGAAAATCCTTAAAAAATATGTTCAATTTTTGCATAGAAATAGAAACAATAAAAAGATTACTTTTACTTTTTTTTAACCTCAAAAATAGGATTCCGTGCATAAAGTGAAGGCCTCGGATGCTTTATCTCAGTTTTGGCCGTTTCTGACCGTACGATCAAAAGACCCACTTCTATGTAGTCGACAGCCTCTGATGAGAGACAAAGACCGGTCTAGTTCCTTTTGGCAACTCTCAACACCCATCACAAGCACCTCGCCACGTGTCTCCTTTTCCTCGAGATCATATAATAACACGTGGACGGCGATGAGCGAAGAGTTAAACTCAGCATATATAACGAAAACAGTAACGTTATTTAATATAAAATTTTGGAAAAAATAATTCTGCTGTAATATAATATAAAATTATCTCATATAATTTCAAAATATTATTATTATTTTTTCAAAAAAAAATTATTTTGAAAATTTGTCAAAAAGTGTAGGATGTTTTACTAATTTTGTTTTTTTTATCATGTAATTTTATTAAAATGTCATGCATTATTTTTTTCAAATCCCTATAATAACGTTATTTTGTGATTGAATAAAATAATTTTGTAAAACTTTTTACATCAAAATTTTCCCCAATGTTTATAACCAATTATATAACCCAAGAGAAAAACTAGTTAAACGATAACTGTTAAAATATGTATTTTCTTTTCTTTTCTTAAATTATTTTATGAAAAAAATTCTAATTTTTCAGTTGGATTGATCCGAAATTATCCAATTATTGGAAGTTGGCGTTTCCATCTGTGACAGAAATGCGTTATGAGAGAGAGATGAGAATTTCCAATCAACTGTACAATCGTAAGTAGTAACAATAAAAGATAGGTGGGTGTACGAGAGGAATTTGGGTGCTCTAGGACCACTACTTACGAGAGGAATTTGAATGCTCATAGACCATCACCTACTCGGTGCTCCTTTCACATAAATGAAAAGGGAAAAAAATATATAAATAAAATTGGGAAAAAAAATTCTCCTTAGGGGTGTTTGGTTTAAGTTTTTGGAGAGGATTATCGGTAATCCTTCTTTGGTAAATGTAATTACCATGTTTGGTAGAAGGAATAAATTACGATTCCCGGATATCCAAGGATTACCGGTAATTTAATTTATAAAGAAAAGTCACTATTCATATTACCAAAAATAATATGGTAATTC